CTTGGACATTGGATACTCAAATGGGGAGGGGCGGGGACTACAAAGGCAAGAAGTGACTGGCTTACAAGCTTTCAAGAGGGAACCTGGTGCTAGGGAGCATGGCGGAAGGCAGAATCTCCAGTAGGTACTATTCTATCTGTCTGGGCGGAGCTGATGAAAGGAGATACAAATGGGTAACTCGTGATGCTGTAGTGAATAATGCTTATCAGGACGGACTATGAGGGTTGGAAATGCAGAGGTAGAAGTTTTGTAACAAGGAAGGGAGTGATTAATTCTCCAGAATAGGAGCGGAGGCCTCTGGGACCATCAATGGAGAAGAGCCAAGAGCGGGGCCTTACCCAGAGAAACAGAGATGCCTGAGATAGAGACAGAGATGATGACGTGGAGTGATGAAGCGACTGGGGACTTTGGACCCAGAGAGGGAAAGGGACTGTGGGCCGAAAACTGGGGAGAGGAGGGGGAAGTATAGGGGTTTCTGGGATATACCCTTTGGATGGTTGTTGATGCGTGGAGGGGATTGGAACCATGGCAATGAGATGATATATGATGGAATGAATGTAAAACTAAAGTTCTCGCATGTAAACTATCATATAATTCACAATAAAACATTAAAAAAAAAGGTAATGAAATTGTTCCAGAACTTTTTTAGGCATAAACAATGGGTGTGACAGAGTTCCAATAAAGCTTCATTTATGCACACTGAAAAAAAAAAACGTATAGCAAAACGAGTGATGGTGCACCTGGCTGTTCATTAGTCATTTAAAGGTCCTGATAACTCTGGAGTTTAGGCAAGGAATTGTGAACAAGGTGGACGGCAGTTGATCTGTGAAGAAACAAATCATTAATTCCAGAGGATTTGCTTGGGAATATTGGAGGGAGGTGCTGAGGCCAGAGGGTCAGGATTTTTAGTGTTAGTTGAGGAATTTAAACGTTGATGTCATTAAAGTACATTACTTGGGTGTCTGGGTGGTGATCAACTTCTACAAGGTTGACAGTTCACATCCACATGGAGATATCAGGAAGCAGGTCTAATGACCTACTTCTGAAAGATCACAGTTTGAAAGCCCCATGGAGCCTTTGCACTTCCCTGGCGTGCCTAGGGTTATGGTAAATTGGAGTTGATGTAATAACAACTAACAACAAGGAACTTAATCCCCTAAGCATGGAAGACAAAAGAACTTGCATTTTCCCTGCGGGCGTTGTTTGCATGAGTTTGGAGTATCCATGGGTGTGATTTTACTCAGTACTCTGAGGCTCTCTTTGTGTGTGTCAATATTTTTTAAAGCCTGGTTCCTCTCCATAATGCCAGACTACCTCAATATCTATCCTTTGTAAAGTGAGGCACAATGTGGCAGTAAAAAGAGTTTTAAAACTTCTTGGTAGAAATTAAGTCATTTATAAAAGACCTTGAATAAGAATAGTGATTTTTTTAAAAATCTTGCCTTGTTTTTTATTGTCATGTACTATTAAAATTTTATTTACAAATAGCAAATTATGACCCCAGGGCAAGAGTGCAAGTTTTAAAGTAGAAAGGTTCGATCCAAGGCTAATTCAGAGGTTATCCTACTGAGGGAGTCACAGCATGCTTTTGTCACCGGCCGGTTTGTGAGTAGCACACTGCATCTACCTCTGATAGAAGGGTGGGTCGGAGGCATTATGTTCTGACACCCAGCCTCTCTCTCATCAGGGATGGTGGTCTGAAGAGGGAGAAGGTGAAGGACACATTCAAGGAGGAGCAACAGAAGCTGTATAGCAAGATGATCGTTGGGAACCACGAGGACAGGAGCCGTTCCTGAGTCCTCGCCTTGTGCTGGCTGGAGCCACCGTGCTGAGATCCTGACATGTGAGCCAGCTGGAGTTGTTGCTGCCGCCACCGTTGCATCCTTTCCAGACTCCAGGGCTCTTTGGGTTGCTCCAGCTTCCTCAGAGTTGTGCAGGCCCTGGGGCAGCACAGCCTGCCCTTTGGCTCTCTGAAGTAAATGCTGCTGGGTGTTCTGCCCAGAACGAGATGCCTTTTTGTTTCTTTTACAATGAAGTCCATTGAAGGAATGCCATAAAGTTGACTCTCCACCTGTGCATGTTGTGCGGGGCTGAGTATTTAGGAAGAATCAACCACATTCCCTTTAGGGATGTTAGGAATGTGTGTCACAGAGGCCCATATCCCAGGGTGCTTTGCTGTGAAAGAGTTCCCCCACTCTTGAGGAGAGGCAGTGCTGAGGCACCATGCCTTGCTTTACCCCCCCCACCCCCCCACCCCAAGCTTTGGAGCTCCACAGACTTGATAGAAAGGAAACTGTAGTCTGCAGGGGCTTTCAGCAAAATGAAGTTTGAATTTCTTGTCCTATTACCATACCTATGGGCTGTCACCAAAGGGATGAGAAGAGGCCAGCCAACCACTGACTAGTCTGTGGTGAGAACCAGGTGTCATTCTGCATTCAGACTCCAGTGCTGGTCCTCACCTCCCCATGTGACTCACTCTTTGTTCATTTGTGCTTCAGTTTCTGTAACCTAGATCCGGAGGGGAGGGGTGATACCTACCTCACAGGGTTGTTGTGGGGATTAAAGTGCTATTCTGAGTGAAGGACACATAATGCCCAATGTTGTAAGTAGAGGTCTGTGAACTGTGGCAGGGCAAGGTCAACTCAGAGCTGTGGCACAGGCCTTTGGATTTGTTGTTGTGAGTAAATAAAATTGTCTTGGATGGTGAATTAATTGAGGGGTTTTTCCTTTCTCTCTTTGTTTAGGTGTAGCCTTGTATAACATGTTTCTTGTCAAAATTACAATTCTCTTAACTTGAACATTGAACATAATCCTGTGACTGACATTTGGATTGGTGGCGGGTATAGTTCAGAAAAAGATGAAGGGCTCACATCATATGTCTGTGTAACTCTTGTTCAGAGGTGCACAGGATCAGTGTAGAGTTTCCAGCATAGACTGAAATGTGGATTTATCCAAATGGGAGCCTGGGGTCTCAAAGTGTGTGATGGGGGCCTGTTTCATTGAGTTGGAGTGAGAATGGAAGGTGGCTGGGTTAGTCTGGATGGCAGGAGATAGTGGGAAAAAGCAAGGAGCTACAAGCCAGGTAAGGTAAAAGCAGGAAGACCAGGCAATTGGCATCAGGCACAGTCAAGAGGGGAATCCAGGCTTCATGGGCCCACCTGACAGACTGTGAAGGGAGATCCAAAGCCAAACAACCCTTGGTGACTCTTGCACTTGGGCCCACCAATTTCACATCCTTCTGAAGAGAGGTGCCTCTCTCCCACCATTTATCCATCTCCTCACTTGTCCCCACTCCCTTCTCTCCATCTGTGGCACCTTAGTGATACCTTTCAGGATTTTGTACCAGTCATGATAAATGTCACATCTCCAAGGTCGCCCCTCTGGCCTAGGATTTGGGGGTGTGGTGGGAAGTGAAACGTCGCTCCTTAGGCTGTTGAACTGGTCTGGTAACACTTGGTCATAATTAAGGACTCTATTTTATTTGGCCTTTAACCATTGCCATGCTTATGAGTTGTGGTGGAGGAGAATATTGAAAGCGCCATGGGCTGCCCATAGAACTAATAGATCCATTTTGGAAGAAGTGCAACCAGAGTGCTCCTTGGAGGCCAGGATGGCCAAACTTCGTGTCTCATACTGCGGAAATGTTGTCAGGAGTGACCAGTTGCTGGAGAAGTATATCATGTTTGGTAAGGTGGAGGGTCAGAGAAAAAGAGGAAGACCCCCAGTGAGATGGATTGGCCAAGTGGCAGCATCAGTGGGCTCAACCATGGCAACAATTGTGAGATTGGCCCAGGATCAGGCAGTATTTCGTTCTGCTGTGCGTAAGGTTGCTATGAGACAGCACCAGCTCGATGGCACCTAACAACAACCACTGCCATTGAGTCTGTTACCTGGTGTATAGAATAGGACTTTTAAAGCCGTGACCTTTTGCTAATTGCCAAGACTTTCTTCTGAGATGCCTTTACATGGATTTCAACTGACAACCTTTTAATTATTTGAGTGCATAACTGTTTGCACCAACCATAGTCACCTCTAACTTTCTTCCTTCTACCTCACTTTTCCTGTTACCTGACCTGTTGCTAATAGTGAAAAATCCCACTGTCCAACTTTTTGTCTTAAAACTCTGTTATTGTTAAGTGTCATCAAATTGATCTTGACTTATAGCAACTCTGTACAGGATTTCCAAGGAGCGGCTGGTGGGTTTGAACTGCCAGCCTTGGGGTTCGCAGTCCAGTGCTGATCCTACAGTGCTAAAATACTATTATGACTATAGTAATAGGCTCTTCTGAACTGTTTTACAAATGTCTAAGAAAGAAAAATGGGTTTCATACTTTGTAGGAAATACTTAAATAGTGTTTAAAAGCTATGTGGAATGGTCTTTAAAAATGGGACTTTGAAGGTCAAGTTCACTTTTTTAAAAATACCAGAAACTAACTTTTCAGCTTCCTACTATTTAGTAGTTTTGTTTCATGACTTACATAGGTATATATATTAACTTATATTTGTGGTTATGTTCTGTGGAGTTGGTTCCAATTCATATCATAGTGACCCTGCATAGAGCTTCTGAGGCTGTAAATCTTTACAAGAGCAGGAAGCCTCATCGTTCGGAGGAATGCCTGGTAGTTTTGAACTGCTGACCTTGAGGTTAGCAGCCTGATTTGTAACCACTGTGCTACCAGAACTGTGAGCGCATGCGCACACACACAGACACACACACATGGGCTTCAAAAAGTTCATAGAAAAATTATCCATTATCTTTTAATTCCCTTTCTCCACAAACATTGTGAAGCACTCTTCATACATTTTATTCTTAGTTTTCTGTCTGTTGTTAATGACACAGCTGGATTTTATAGAACCTGGTTTAGAATCACTGCTGTGTAAAGAAATACTTGTGAAAACTAAGCAATGATTGTTTTATTCTCTTATTAACAGTGAAGAGAAGGGATGTTAATTACACCCACAAAAATACGATCTCAGGTTGTTACTCAGTGCTGTGTTACAAACATGCTATAAGCATAATGCTGTTGTACCATTCTTTTAACTTGGGAATCCTGAAGGCCCCAAGTTATCTGTAAGTCAGTTAGTCTTATGTGGTAAGATCTCATGGCACTTAGGAATAACTACAAAGAAGCCTGTGAAACAATGTAGAGTACAAAATAAAGTTCTTCTGGGACCCCAGCAGGGATGAGGATGATCTTCCAGTAAAAACACCTAGTAGGTGATATTGGTGGTGTCACTTATTCAAGTGACACCTGCTTCTCATCCTCATTCCAAACCTGCTCTTCCATTTTGCTGTATCAATTTCCTGATTCTTACTCTGAAATCTGTCATTTTAAACACATAGTTTACTTTGGGCTTCTAAAGTCTTCTGAGTCTAGAAATATAAGAAGTCAGTTTTGAATTAATTTGCTTCCCCAAAAACAATGGGACTAATGAGAGTAAACTCTACTAGAGGGTATCCTCCAAAAGGAGACCCCTTAAGTCTTAGAGATGGTTGGAGAGTTGACCCACATTTCCCTTGGACTGGGTGGCTTTGATTATGGGTTTTGGCAGACATTTTTCTAGCAAACATGGTATGTTCCCAGCTAGTTAAAACAGAAACTTTCTAATAAAGCGTGTAGAATCCCCTGACAGGCAGCTCTGTAGAGGACTGCCAGCCAGAGCAGAACTCAACAAGCTAAGCTTGATGGAGCACTTTGAAATGACATCTTTGTACCATAGTAGAACCAACTTTGAAATGTGATTCTTTACTGTCTCAGACCCCACTTCCTGTTGCTGTTCTTCAGAAATGTTCAGGTTTGAAGTGTGAGGGTTGTAGGGGAGTTTTCCACAGAGCCCCAAATGGCTTACTCCAGACTGGCTAGTGAGTACTCGGGCACCATCTTGCAGCAGCCCTTACCAATGGTGGACACTAACCCTAATCTTAGGGAGCTTTCTTGGTCTATAAATCCTGCTATTTCCTTCATGGAATTGACCACTCAGTTATCTGTGGGATGGTACTTTCTGATGTCCCCTGATGCATGAAAAACTGCACACTCTCAGGCCCCATCCATCTGTTCTGCGTGCTTGGTAGCCAGACTCGGTTTCTCTGGTCACACCTTGCTGTGTGGCCTCGGGCATCACTGCTGGAAGGGCAGCTGCATGCACACTGACTCCTGGACAGGTTAAGAGACGACCGTCCAGCCATCCATCTTCCACTGCACAACACCCCTTCTCCCCCCAGTCAATATGTCTCTCTCCGATGGGAAAGTTAATAAATTTTGCTCTAGATTAAAAGTATTGATCATTTCATTTGTAAACGATAAATAAAAAGGGGGAACTTTTCATTGCACCAGGGGTAGCGTCTGGTGTATTTTGCTGGTGAAATTGCGCTTGCTGTTGGGGGGGCGGTGGGCTTCTCATATGCATTCTGGCCGGCCAGTTGCATTGATTTCCTATTAGTCTCCCAGCACCACCCAGTAACACATCATTTCAGTACCTGCTATTAATGGTCTTTTGATAAATAATCACTTGTAAGTCAATAAATTTTTATTAAACAGTGTGGCTCTTTGATTTATTAAAATCCGACCATGTTTGTCTGGAAGAAAAGGGATGCTGAATTGAAGTGGAGGTTTTCATACATCTTCCTGACGCTGAGCAGTCACCACACACTCCAGAGGAAAACAATTGCATTTTAACAGAAACAAAACAGCCGAGTTTGGAACTTGGGCCCAGGAAAACTTTATCTCCGTCAGTCTGAGTCTCATTCTGCAGGGAGCAGCCACAAGCTTGAGGGCGCCGAGTCAAGAACTTTGGG